CGTTTGAGAGCCATCACGAGTGCGAGCAGCTCCTTCTTCCTTGCATCATCAAGCGAGTTGATGGGAGGCACTTTGTGGCTGAAATACTCCACAGGGTGCCAGTCGTCGCCGTCGTGCTGTTCCAAGACTGCCCCAATGCCATAGCCGGAAGCATCCGTAGTCACTCGTGTCGGCAGGGTGGGGTCATAAATGCTAAAGACGGGTGCCATGAGCATAGCCGTCTTAAGTGCTTGGAATGACCGGCGTGGGTCGTCATCGAATACGAATGGGACCTTTGGCGACTGTAACCTCGTCATAGGTGCAGCAATCCTGGAGTATCCGGTGATGAATCGCTGATACTAGCCCGCCAACCCCATGAATGAACGAACGTCCGTGGTGTTGGTGGGCTCGGGCCATACTCGTAGGGCCTCGATCTTGTCCGCAAGCGGACGGATGCCTTGCGGCATCACATAGTGTCCCAAGTACTCCAGCTCCTGCTGTGCGAACTCGCACTTGTCGCGGTTTGCTTTGTACTTGGCCTGTCGTAGCCGCTCCAAAACGGTGCGCAGGTGTTCCACATGTTCGTCCAGACTCCGGCTGTAAACCAGAATGTCGTCGAGGTATATAAGTACGAAACGATCCAGCATGTGTCGGAACTCCGTCGTCATAGCCGCTTGGAAAGTGGCTGGGGCATTCGTAAGGCCCAATGGCATCACCAGCCATTCGAAATGCCCATACCGAGTCCTGAACGCGGTCTTGTAGCAATCCTCCTTGCGAATCTCGAGTTGGTGGTACCCTGACTTGAGATCCAACTTAGAGAAGAATTGGGTGCCTCCCAATCGCTCGAGAAGGTCGTCGATGTGTGGGAGAGGGCCGACGTTCCTGATCGTCTGCGCGTTTAGCTTGCGATAATCGATGCACAACCGCAGGTCCTTGTTCTTCTTCCGGACGAAGAGAACAGGAGCACCGTATGGCGATGAGCTAGGCCGAATCCAGCCTTTCTCTAGAAGGTCGTCGAGTTGTGCCCGAAGCACACTTAACTCTTCGTCGCTCATTCGGTAGATGCAACCGCACGGAGGTACGGCCCCGTCCTCGAGGATGATCTCGTGGCGGATGGGTCGATCCGGTACTATTCCATGCGGGCCTTCGAACACGTCGCTGTAGGCGTCGAGAAGTTCGGTGATGCGTGGATCCGAAGGTGAGTCCGTCGATGAAGCGTCATGTGGCGGGAGGGCGTGGAGAAAACACACCCCCATCTCCTCGATGTCGTCTCTGATGATGGAAACTCGCATGCTTGCGGCGGATACCACGTGGCAGTTGATCGAAGGATGAGGAAAAGGCACCGTGCATGGAACTAATACTTTGTTCCGGTCGCGAACGTGAACGGTGCGGTTGAAGAAGTTCACAAGGTGATCCTTGCTTCGCAGCCATGACATGCCCAAGATTATGTCGAATTTGGTGTCCAGAATGTCGAAGGACACCGCCTCACTTGCGTGGGGGGCAAAGTACACTGGGACGGCGTCAATGCATCGGTCGATGGACTTGTGCGTATGACCGTCTGCCAGAGTGACTTGCGTAGGYGGGGACTTCCTCCGGACACGTGGGCCAAGGCCGGCGCGTACCATGAAGTCCTGGCTGATGTAGTTGCGAGATGCTCCGCAATCGATCAAGGCACTGCAGGTCGCCTCTCCGATCTGAATGCGTATGTATAGCAATGGTGCGTCGATATCGTCGTACCGTTGCGTCTTGAACTCGCGGTCGATCTTCGCGATGAAAGCGTGAAGGTCGAAAACCTCTGCTCCGGCATCCATCAACGGAGCTGGTACTGCAGTGTGCAAGTAGTCCCGCAATTGTGCCATAAGCGCGTTGCAATACGGTTTCGACAATCATCCGGTCGAGGGAACAGGCATCCACTGGAAGTCCGTGAACGTCAATGGGTCGAGCTCTTCAAGTCTTGACCATGACGTCGAATCCCCGGGGATAGGTTGCGGCGAAGCTGCCGAATCTGTTGCCGATGGTGATGAAACCGTGCATGCGGTGGACTGTTGCACGTGGAGCGGTTGGTCCAGCGGTGGAACCAAGTGGACAGCATAATCCTCGTAAGTATACCGAGGACTTGCGACATTCGCATCCTCCCCAGATGTGCAGGAGGCCGCTAGCAAGGCGGCCGAATCTGGCGGAGTAGAAGGTGGAGTCGCCTCACCTTCCGCGGAGCTCAGTTTCCCGAGCTGAGGCGGGGTCGCACATCCTCCTTGCCCTGATCTTGGCACAGGGAGGTCTTGTGCTTGGTGCTGTTGCACCAATAGCAGCTGCCGTACCGGCCGCGGACTTTGTACTCTGCCTCGGTCAAGCCGAACTTGACCCATGAAACTTGTACTGGCTGTCCATTTCCGGCCTGCGATGCGGATTTCGCCTTCCCATTGCTGCGGGACTTGTTGTTGCTTCGCGGCTGGACAACA